TTTAAAAATGTGTATTCTAACAACTTTTCCTAGTAAATTCCTAGTAAATGTTTACCTACCAAATCAAAAATTTCTATAAATACGACTATTTGTGATTCATTTCAAACACACCAAAACAAAATCAGGTATAAGCTTAAAAGGAAAAAAAATGTCCGGTCTTGGAATTATTTTCGAATTATGGAGGTGGATGTATACACAAAGAGATAATAACGGGAGAGTGACGAAAGAATTTCTTGAATGGTTGGAGACATTTATGCATCAAGCAGATTCTACACCGCTCACACAGGAAAGCGATAAGATGTTATGTCCTTACCAGAAATGCAAGAATGCAAAATTAGGTCCTCGTGAAAATGTTTGGAAGCATTTAATAACTAGAAGTTCCATGCCATAATACTATATTTGGTATCAACATGGAGAAGATTATATTTGTAGGAATGAAGCTAGCAGTAGTAATAGCAATTTTCAGGATGAACTGGTCGTTGATCATTTGCATAATGAAAATAGTTATTACCAGGAGGAACAGATGGTAGATTGTGATAGGATCCATGATATGGTAGGTGATGCATTTGTACCTCATGATGATGAAGTTGAAAAACCTAACTTAGATGCAAAAAAGTTTTATGAAATGTTCGAAGCTGCGAACGAGCCAAATTTACAATGGTTGTAGAGAAGGTCTCTCTAAATTGTCGTTGGCTGCTAGAATGATGAGTATTAAAATCGATCACAATCTACCTGAAAATTGCATGGATGCATAGGTAGACTTGTTTAAAGAGTATTTGTCAGAAGACAATGTGTCTGCTGAATCTTATTATGAGATTCAGAAATTGGTTTATAGTCTTGGGTTGCCCTCAGAGATGATAGAAGTTTGCATCGACAACTGCATGATTTATTAGGGAGATGATGAGCAGTTAGAAGAATGTCGATTCTGTAAGAAGCCACGATTCAAACCGCAATGACGAAGACGGAATGGGTACCATACCAAAGATGTGGTACCTACCAATCACAGACATATTGAAAAGATTGTACCAATTTGAGAAGACTGTTGGAGGGATGAGATGGCACGCCGAGCATACTCAGACGGATGGGGAGATAACTCAACCATCAGATGCAAGAGCTTTGAAACATTTTAACAATGTACATCGACATTTCGCTTGCAATAGCCGGTATGTGTATCTTGGATTATGCACTGATGGATTTAGTTCATTTGGAATGTCTGGGAGACAATATTCATTGTGGCCAGTCTTTCTTACGCTGTACAACCTGCCACCGGAAATGTGCATGCGAAAAGAGTTTCTATTCTTGACCATATTAATATCTGGTCCAAAGCATCCAAAAAGATCTATCGATGTTTTCTACAACCACTGATAAAAGAGTTGAAAGATTTGTGGTCAACAGGGGTAAGGACATATGATTGTTCAACGAAAAGGAATTTTACAATGTGAGCGATGCTTTTATGGACCATAAGTGAATTTCCTGCATATGGGATGCTTTCTGGATGGACTACATATGGGAGATTAGCTTGTCCATATTGTATGAAATGACAGATGCTTTTCAGTTAAAGAATGGTAGAAAGACAACTTGGCTCGATTGTCACCGTCGATTTCTTCCACTTTACCACCCATACCGAAGAAACAATATATTGTTCAGACACAAAAGGGTGGTCAGAGACACTCCTCCTTCATATTTAACTGGAGAACAAATTGAAGCGCAAACCGATTACTACTGTGCACTAGAAACAGCTCCTCGTGGTGGTAATTGGCACGTTTCCAGTAATATGTCAGATTCTTTTGGTGTTCAGCACAACTGGCACAAGAAGAGTATATTATGGGAGTTGCCATATTGGAAAGATCTTCTTTTGCGCCACAACCTTGATGTGATGCATATAGATAATAAATTTTTTGAGAACATCGTGAACACTATATTGAATGTCCCAGGAAAGACGAAAAACAAAATAAAATCGAGGTTGGAGTTAGCCGATATCTGATGAAGAAGTGAGTTACATATAAAAAGCAATGGGTAAGTTCCAGTTCCGATATTCAGATTGTCATCAGAAAAAAAGTCAGTGTTGTTCAACTGAGTGGCTTCAGAAGTGAATTTTCCAGATGGGTATGTTTCAAATCTCTCAAGATGTGTTGAGAAAGGTCAAAAGTTCTTCGGGATGAAGAGCCATGATTGTCATGTCTTTATGCAACGACTACTTCCCTTTGCATTTGCGGAGCTACTACCAGCAAAAGGACATGAAGCACTTGCAGGTAATATAATACGCAAGCATTAATTAATTTCTTTATATATATGTACATATAAATATGATTATACTAATATGTTTAATTTTTTTAATATATTAGGAATTGGAGCATTTTTCAGGGATCTGAACACATGCACTCTTAAAGAGGATGTTGTTCAACAACTTCATGAGAACATCTTAATATGCAACTTGGAGAAACTATTTCCACCGACATTTTTTGACGTCATGGAGCACCTACTTGTCCACCTCTTGTATGAGGTGTTGCTTCGTGTACTTGTACATCACGGATGGATGTATCAGTATGAAAGGGCCATGAAAACTTTAAAAGTAAAAGCCAGAAACTTCGCAAAAGTTGAAGGTTCTATTAATTAGAACGGGAAATTTGATGGAAGAAACATCAAATTTCACATCGTACTACTTTTCACCAAAAGTATGTACAAGGAAACAAGCTCCAAGAAGATATGATGATGGTGGTGTCGTGCCGACATATATGGAAAAATATATTCCAGACATCTTTTGTCAAATTGGACGATTGGTGGGAAATTGAAGGAGGTTTGGTGGTCGAGTGATGAAGACGTCCATAGTACACACATTTATATACTTCTCAACTGCAAGCATCCATTAATTTGTTATTTCGAAAGGTAAACATATAAACACGTTCATACACACTTATATATTTTCGATTGATTAATAATATAACATAATTTTATAGGGAAAGTTTTACTCAAGTCGAAGAAGCAATCCCAGGTATATCGACAACTGAGCTAACCACAAGGAAAGATCAACACTTTATCAAGTGGTTGAAGAAACATGTATTATAAATTCAATTTTTTATGCAGGTTGATTATGACGATCCCGCTTATCCTGCATGGTTTCGCGAATTACTTCAAGGTCCAGTTGCAAAGGTCACCACATCGTCGATGTATTTCACACGAGACTATACTTTTCATACCTATGACTATGGTAGACACCGGGCGACAAGTAATTATGGAATATGTGTGAAAGGTGAAACAGATTTTTACGAGATCTTGTAGGAGATTTACGAAGTTCAATTCTCAGGATTATTGAAGCTGAAATGTGTCATCTTTAAGTGCGAGTGGTTCGACCCCGTTTTCAATAGATGTGTTCAGATTAACAAATTCGGTGTAGTTGATGTCAATGGTGGATGAAGGTACAACAAATTCGAGCCTTTCATATTAGCTTCACAAGCGGACCAAGTTTGCTTCATTCCATACCCTCAGATGACAACATCAGAAATAAACTGGTTAGCTGTTATCAAAGTTACACCTCGTGGACGAATAATCGATGGAGAAAGACCACCATTACAAGAGGAACACACCAATAAAATCGAGGAACCTGGAGCACAAATTGATGAAATCCTACTCATCGATCCGCATAATCGTGTATACGAAGATGTCCGGGATCATACAGCGGACGAAGCTGTTGAAGACGAGTTTTACGAAGATGATGATGTTTCTAGTGATGATTCCAAGAATGGCAATGATTTATCCGAATGATGTTGTATGGAAATGATGTATCTGAGTTTTTAATATTAATAATTTTAAGATTTAATTATTACGAAAATGAAATGGAAGTTTGGAAAGTTGTGATTTGGGGTTTAGGAAGATGTAGAGGTATAAATTATGGAAGTTGGGGTTTAGGGTTTGTGGTTTCAAATTTTAGGGATGTACAAAACTTTCCTCGTAAAATCCTAGCGATGTGAAAACACGGGACTTGTTGTTTCCTCGTAAAGTCCATGTAAACCGTTTTTTTCGTAAAGTCCACGTAAGTTATTTTCCTCGTAAAGTCCTTGTAAGCCTTTTCCTCGTAAAACCCTCGTGAGGTGAAAACACAGGACTTGTTATTTCCTCGTAAAGTCCACGTAAGTTTTTCCTCGTAAAATCCTTGTGCGGTGACACAGGACTCGTTGTTTCCTCGTAATGGGACTAGGATTTTACGAGGAAACCAAAATCCCTATATAAATCGAAGCAATCCAATTTCTCTTATTTGTAGTTATCTCCTCTCCATTTCCTTTTAAGGTAATAGTTAGGGAATTTAGATTATGTGGTTAGTTTAGAGTTTAAGGTTTAGGAAATTTCGATTATGTGGTTAGTTTAGAGAATTTAGATTAGGTTGTTTATTTTTGGGAACTTATATTATATTTTTAAAAATGTTAATTACTAATATATTTATTTATTTTTAAATGTTTAAATGTTTTAGATGACTAGAGCGCAAAAACTTAAAGATAAGCAGCGGCCGCCAGTCGGATCATCTTCTTCTGATAAACTTCCTTTTACGAGGAAATAACTAGAAAAAGCCGTTTTAGCTTTAAATGTGTTCTTTTGTAGTGAAATGTGTTTTCATCTCAATTTCCATATATGTGCATGCAAATTTTATGGTCATAAAGTCTGCATAAATATTAATCAACATATTGTACTCATAATATAAACATTCTGAAACCAATTATATAAAACTTTAATAAGAAATCCCTCGTTCTGGTTTGAAGAAAGCCCTCAATGGATAGAAAGGCATAAATGAGAAAAACAATATAGGGAAGGCAAAGCTAAACAACAGCTGCAACAAAAAATAAAAAAAACATAAACTTCAAAACTAAACAATTTCCTTCTACGAAAATTTAAAAACGTGGAAAATAAACAAACAAGCAAAGAAAAGTATTCTTCAACTTGGCTGGCTTCATGTGTAAGCTATATATATATTCCATTAAACCCTTTCTTAAAACCCAAAAGCTTCACAATCTATCTCTCTCCTCTCTCTCAACATGACATCAAGAACATTCAAAAGATTTCTTAATCCCATTAATGCTTTTCTCATGCTTTCTCTCGTTTTCTCAGGTGATTTGATTTTCTCATTGTTATCTATACTTTTATATATATAGATTTTAAGATTCTCAAGTTATGCGTTATGTCAAAAATAGCAACGTCGATTATTTCTAAATACCATCTTATAATTATTTTTTTCATATTTAGTCCCGTACTATTTGGCAAAAAAAAATATTTAGTCTCGTACATTATTGAGTTTTGCATGACACTATTTTCTAACAATTCCGATTCTTTGATTGGAAATGAACGCAGGAAATTTACTACAGAGAGCAACATCTCTTGGTATCAATTACGGACAAGTTGGGAACAATTTGCCTTCACCGGATAAAGTTATTAACCTTTTGAGATCTCTAAGGATCACCAAAACAAGAATCTACGACACTAATCCTCAAATTCTTACTTCCTTCGCAAATTCAAACATAGAGATCATCGTCACCATCGAAAATCAAGTGTTAACATTGTTACAAGATCCTCAACAAGCTCTCCAATGGGTGGGTTCTCATATCAAACCCTATATTCCGGCCACAAGGATCACCGGAATCATGGTCGGGAACGAGCTTTTCACCGACGAAGACTCTAGTTTAATCGGGTATTTAACAATCATCAAATCTCAAATCCAATTTGTTATATTTAATCAACTAGACCTTTACATTGGTTATTTACGTAGATTAAAGTTTGGTCAACAAAATATCATTAGAAAACAAATGTTTATCAAAACTCCACTGCGATTTAATAATGTTATCCACTAAAAACTTCTTACTATACAAATTTCGGCCCGCGTCCCATATAGAAAGCTAATTATCAGAGTAACTTACATTCACATTTCTAACCAAAAAGACTTATATTTTACTCGCAATTAAATTTATATAAAGACATTAATTTTTAATAAGATTGAAGCAACAACATAAAAATTATAAATTACAAAACTGTTTATATTGTTCTATTCAGTTAAGTGTAATACATTTTGTCCAATAATGCTAACTTTTTTGCTTATTCTTTTATTTTTTTTTCTTTTTGTAATAGATACATGATGCCGGCTGTTATCAACATCCACAAAGCCTTGGTCCAACTAGGTTTAGATAGACACATTCAAGTCTCATCTCCAAGCTCTCAGGCCGTCCTCGCCGAATCTTATCCTCCATCAGCAGGAAGTTTCAAGCCGGAGGTCTCCTCTGTGATGCAACAACTTCTACAATTCTTGGAAGCCACGAAATCTCCATTTTGGATAAATGCTTACCCTTACTTTGCCTACAAAGATAACCCACACAAAATCCCCATCGACTACGTTCTATTCAACCGAAACATCGGTATGACCGATCCCAACACAAGACTACATTACGACAACATGATGTATGCTCAAGTCGATGCGGTTGCTTTCGCTGCTGCGAAACTAGGGTACCGTAACATAGAAGTTAAGGTTGCTGAAACAGGGTGGCCTTCAAAAGGAGATGCAGGAGAGATTGGAGCGTCTCCTACGAATGCTGCTACGTATAATAGGAATCTTATGATGAGACAATTCGCCGGAGAAGGGACTCCGGCGAGACGGAATTCAAGGCTAGATGTTTATATATTTGCCTTGTTTAATGAGGATATGAAACCCGGTCCTACTTCAGAAAAGAACTATGGAATATTTCGACCTGATGGATCATTGGCTTACAATTTGGGATTCTCTACGATGTCGACTACCACTGCGAATTCAGAATCTGTCAAGTATTCATCTTACGCCACTAAGGTACGATTACTATTCTATAGTTTGTGAAGGCATTAAATGTGCAATAATAAAAAAATCTGTTATAGTGATTCGGTGAATTCTATGTTTTTTTATTCATATAGGCAAAGACGACCTTGGAGTATTGGACAATTTTGATGTTGGCGATGATTCAAGTTGCAATGTCGAGACTATTTTAGACGGAAAGTTATCGAGGATATATAATAACGTAATTGGTTAGGATATTTTTCTAAACAATTTGATTATTGAAGTTCGATAATAAAAGTTTCATATTCAATTCTGAATATTTCACTAAATTTGATGGATAATTGTCGTCCTTATCATGTACATTGGACTTATGGATATCTTAACTCATATTGATAAATTAATCTGTAAATAAACAAAAGCAGTTTACTGTTTAAGAAAAACATATATTGGAGGCTTGTCGCACATGGAAAGCTTTGTGTTACTTTGACCCTTTGCCATAGAATAGACAAACAGTAGCGGTATAGAATCAGCCATTAAGTGTTCTCTAGTCCAAGATATGACATAGCTAGTTAATTTCATTTATATATAGAGGCAGTCTTTGGACCAAGCCATCAAACACTCGTTTCCAGCCGAAAAATATATACAAATTTTCCGGACACAAAATAATAAGATTTATAGTCGTGTAGTGATTTAGTGTATATGAGTAAATGTGGTCGGTACCTGCAAATTCGATACTTTTAAGTTGCAATATTTTTTTCGAAATTTAGAATAAGCTAAATTAGCTTAAACAAAAAAAGGAAAATATGGTAAACCTAAACTCAAGTCTATTGTCGCTTCTTCTTTTTTGCTATTGTTACCAAGCTCAAGTTTAAACCACTCTTCAATTGTTATCATCTTTCTAATTCATATTACTTGAATTCCTTGCTTGTTATTTTATGTAACTGAAACCAATTGTCTTCTCTTCTTCTTGATCCATAGTGGTAATTCCATTAGTCTGTAATATATCTTTTTCTTATACTTTTTAAATTTGACGATTTTTAGTGCAAAATAGTCAATTATATAGTAATATAATTTCTTTAGTTTCATTTTTATACAGATTTCATCTACTCATGATTATCTACAGAGGTGGTCTTTTGCCCAAGCCAATCAAGCACTTGCTTTCGGCCGATAAATATACACAAATTTTCCGGCCACAAAATAATAAAATTTATAGTGGTGTAATGGCTTAGCGTATGTGAGTTAATGTGGCAGGTCCCGGGTTTGATATTCCTAAGTTGCAATAATTTTCCGGGACTTGCAATTAAACTAAATTAACTTAAACAAAAAAGAAAAATATGGTTAAACTTAAACTCAAGTCTATTGTCGCCAAGCTCAAGTCTAAATCTCTGTTCAATTGATATCAACTTCCTAATTCATATTACTTGAATCCCTTGCTTATTCTTTTTTGTAACTGAAACCAATTGTCTTCTTTTCTTCTTGATCCATAGTGGTAGTTCCATTAGTCTGTAACATAATTTTTTATACTTTTTTAATTTGACGTTTTTATTGCAAAAATAGTCAATTATATAGTAATATAAATGTTTTAGTTTCATATTTTATACAAATTTCATCTACTGGTGATTATCTAGATGTGTAGGTTCATAGTAAAACTAATAATTTTTAATCATTACAGAAAGATTGGTTCTAAAAGAATTAGAAAAGAGATGAGAGGTGCTGAAAAAGAAAGAAAAAAAAGAAAAAAAAAAAAAAAAAAAAAAAAAAAAAAAAAAAAAAAAAAAAAAAGAAGAAGCTTTCATAAAATCTAAAGCCAATTCAATGTTAAGGTACAGAACCGGTCCCGACTTTTTGGTAGCTAGAAGCGAATAAAAAAAGGGTTGGTTCATAAATTTCCTACTAATCGTTTTTGAATAAAAAAAGAAGTGTTAAACAAAAACGCTTAAAACATGAGAGATCAATACATCACTGTTGAAATATGATTCTTCTTGCATTTCTTCCCACAAACTCATTCATCAAGGTTGTATAATCAATCTTCTCAGCCATATCCCTTTCAAACGACAACATTGACAATCCATTAAGTCTCTCTTGTGACATATTCGGCCGTAGATAAGATTTTATGAGTTTCAACTTTGAAAAACTTCATTTTGCTGAGACAACAGAAACAAGAATTGTCATCATTATACGATATGTAGTCCATGTATTTGGATAACAACTTTCCCTCTTTTTAAAAAACTCAAATATCTCAGCAGCCTTCTTAATACCTTCAGGTAAACCCCCTCTCAAAAGCTTCAGCTCCAAAAACAAATCCTTACCATTAATACCAGAATAATACCATGTTTCAGAAAAGCTTCAAGGTTAGCACAAGAAATCATCAGCTTGTCATCTTTTGCTAGCTTCAGTTTTTTAAAGTCAAATAAGAATCCAAAAGTCTTTTCATAACCTTGAAGCTGATCAAACCTTGTCTCAAGAGAAACTAAACCTTGATCCACAATTTTGATGAAATAGTTGATCCTAAAGTCTTTTTCTAGTTATTATCACATATTCTCCAACTTTATTTGGCTCTTCATCATGAAAATACTTTTTTCTAGTAGGATTTTTCTTTTTTAGAGAACACATGATCATTTACATTTCTCTAGCAATCTTTTTAGCTTGTACCTTGGCTGCTTGGAAGCCTGTTTCTCTATAGTCCTGACAAAAAGAAACAAGTTTTTTCAGTTGAGAAATAGCAATACCAATATCCATATTTGCTGATTGGAGGATCTTGCTCACTTTGTTAACAACAAACAAAAACTCATACCAAATAACCATTCCAAACAGAAACTCAAAACTCCCAATTCCATGGGTTTCACTCATGGCAAGAGACTCAGCATCACTTCTTATTCCCGGATTATTACTGTTTTCTGCCAAGTAAAACAATGCTTCTCATATCTTAGGAGCTTGAAACCGTATTGATTTGATGCTGTTGATGTGACTCTCCCAATGAGTTTATGATAATGGCTTAACAGTAATATCATTCACAATCTCTTTGAAAATGTCACAATTATTTATTGAAGAGGAAAAATAAGCAATATATGTATTGAACAACACAAAAAAAAACGATACTGCTACGTCCGACGAAGAAGCAATATCTAAAAGTGTAAGATTCAAACTATGGCAACCACATGGTGTGTAAGCTGCTCTTGGATTAATTTCCAGCAATCTATTTTGTACTCCTTTATGTTTACCTTTCATATTTGACCCATTATCATAACATTGCCTTCTAATGTCATCAATATTCAACCCCAAATCAACCAATATGTTTTTAAGAGTGCCAAAATGACCTTCACCAGTTTTGTCTTTGATTTCCAAGAATGTCAAAAAGAACTCTTCGATCTTTGGTGAGGTCTCAAAAAATATCTACACGTCGGATGACCAGTGTCATTTGTTCTGTGAGGCTGATATCAAGAGTACAATCAAAAATAACTGAATATATTTTGTACATAGAATCTTCTTTAAGATCATTGTTTTGATCTCACTCCCAAGCATCTGTATCAACTCATTCTGAATTTTGTGACTCAAATAATGATAACGAGTTTCATGCTTTTGAATTTGTCTAATGTGCTCTTTCGTTACTTCATCAAAATCTGCAAATACTTCAACCATGCCCAAAAAAATTTCATTACCAGCCACACGGATCTTGTCCCTCTTTCCACGAAATGCCATATTCTGTCTAGCAAGGCTTTTCACTAATGCAATTATCCTCAACAATACATCTCTCCAGTATTGTTTCTCTTTGCTAACCTCTTCTTGAATATGTTTGTCAATGGTCTAGGTTGTCTTTCTATCTCTATCCATTGATTCATGCATACGATATGCTTATGACTTTTTTCATGCTCCTTTAGCATTTATGAAAGATTTCTCCTGTCATTGTACTCACTGATTGCAATCTGATTAGAGTTTCTGTCTTGGGTGAATAGTTTACAGCAAAAACATAAGACCTTATCTTTTACTTTGGAGTAAACTAACCAGTGACTATATTGCTTTTCTCCATTTCTTATTTCTTTTGTAAAAGACGAACGAGAAAAACATCTACCAACATAATCTCTTAGAAAATGGTAATCAATCGGTAACCACATTGTTTGACCTTTCTCAACAAGAAAATTTCTCATTCTATTATCAACCGTTTTCTAGTTTTCAGGATCATCATCATCTCCACTTATTTGGTACTCTTTAACACCATCCATTTTCTTCTCTTCATCCTTATTTCAAGTCTCTCTTTTTCTCTCACTACCACCTGCACTCCCATAATTATTCCTAATCTGATTCACATGAAAGTTTGTTCATCCTCATCAATATCACCATCCTCCATATCTTCTATAGTCTCATCTTCGACAACTTCATCAAATTTACGAACTTCAGTTTTTTTAATGTGCCTTAACATTGAATTGACTTGAGATTTTATGAAATCTTCTTCTTTTTTTTTCTTTTTTCTTTTTTCTTTTTCAGCACATCCTATCTATTTTCTAATTCTTTTAGAACTCATCTTTCTGTAATGATTAAAAATTATTAGTTGTACTATGAACAACACATCTAGATAATCACGAGTAGATAAAATTTGTATAAAATATGAAACTAAAGAAATTATATTACTATTGACTATTTTTGCACTAAAAAGGGTCAAATTTAAAAAGTATAAAAAAAATTATGTTACAGACTAATGGAATTACCACTATGGATCAAGAAGAAGAGAAGACAATTGGTTTCAGTTAAAAAAAAGAATAAGAAAGGGATTCAAGTAATATGAATTAGGAAGATGATATCAATTGAAGAGAGGTTTAGACTTGAGCTTAGCGGCAATAGCAAAAAAGAAGAAGTGACAATAGACTTGAATTTAGGTTTAACCATATGTGGGAACCGAAATTCACACCGTCGATTTCCGTTAAATAAGGAAACTTAGGAAAACTCTAATTTTCCAGAGGACTCGGATCTCTGCGAGAGCCAACGAAAAGTAACCAAATAAATGCGAAAATATGAAAAACATGATAAAATAATTTTATAAAGAAAGTTGATCTTATTTCGAATTCGCGTAAGAGCATTGCGATCATTACAAGAGATTACAAAGGCTTTGGCCGCAGGGGCCATCAGCGAGTTATCAACATAAAACACTAAACCTAGTCGAGTTGCAGCTTGATAACAAAGGACGAAAAAGATAAGAAAAAAAAGTTTGATTGATTTCGGACTTAACCTTAAGAAATGCTGCATGCGTACCCCTTTCTAGGATCAAGTCGAACGTAGTTCAATTGGTAGAGCTGGAAAAGAGATCGAACTGCCGACGCGAGTTCGTCTAGTAGTTGAGTGCCAGTCATAGAAACCGAACTTGTCGAGAAATATGCCTAAATTTCTAAGTGCAGAGAGTTCTGAGTTTAAAAGAGTTGTGAAAATTGTTGTCTGCCCTTGTCCCCAATATTCTGCTTATATACTCCCTCCTTAG